AGGCAAGCGCTCTACTACTGAGCCACCTTCCCAGCCCTCTCACAGACTTTCTTGCCCAGGCTGGCTTTGAACTATGATCCTCAGATCTCAGCCTCTTGAGTAGCTAGGATTACAGGCATGAGCCACAGGAGCCTGGCTTCCAGAAAGTTCTTGAACCATTTCTTCAGCCAATCCCTTTTCACATGGATGAGCAGCCTTCTACACTGTTCCAGGCACTTGGAATGAGTCGCTTGAATAGAGTAGATTCTTGTTCTCATGAAAGTAACTTCCTGTCAAAGAGACCACAAACTGTAGACATAATAAACAGGTGCATAGATAAATAAGTGCATATGTAAACAATTGCACAAATAAGGGTGAGTTCTATGAGAAAGACTGGGAAGAGGAGTCAAGTTAAAGTATTATAGTGAGGTGGAAAGATGGTGAAGATAGTTGCCTGGGGAACAGCATCTCAGGCAGTGGAACCTGCTAGAGAAGAGTCTAGAAAAGCAGCAAATTCAGCAAACATCTAAGAGGCAATGAGGCTGAATCCATAGGAGAGGTAAGAGTTGGAGGTGGGGCAGATGCTCAAGGACTTGTGGGCTTTTAGAGAAAGTATAGTTGAGTTTAGAGCTTAAGTGGCTTTGTTTCTAGAACTGGTGTGCCTATAATACTAGCTACTCAGGAGGCTGAGATCTCAGGATCACAGTTTAAAGCCAGATAAGGCAGACAAATCCTCAAGACTCTTATCTCCCAATAAACCAGGAAAAACTGAAAGTGAAAATGTGGCTCCAATGTTCAAATGTTGGAAAAAATCCAAATGAGACCACAAGGCCTGGAGTTTAGGTCTCAGTACTGGCACAAAAGGAAAAAACAAAGAACAGAACAGGAACTGGGGGGGGGGGGGGGGAGGATGGAAGGTCTTGTTTTAGAAGGGCATGGCCCTAGGCTCAATTCTCAGCCTTGCAAGAAAAAAAAAAGAGGATCAGATACTTCAACCTTGCTTTTCTTGTAAGGTGGCAACAGGGAAACAGACCTGAGAGAAATGGCTGATAGGTTACTATCATATCATATCAACTGGAACCCGCCTGTATGGGAAGTCTGGCTATTGTCTCCCTTTCCTGATTTGTCAGGAAGTCAAATACCAATTTAGTTTCCAGGTGGTAAAGAAGAACTCAAGCCTAGTGACTCTATTTTGGCCTCAGTCAGGAGTGGGCTGCATCTAGTACAGGAGCTTGGTCCAACATAATTACCTCAGTGGGAGGTCCCATGGAGGGTTTTAAGTGACGAGTGAGGGGGAGCCTAACAGGTTTTTAGAGGGTTCACCCTAGAAGTTATGTTAAGAACAGGATAGAAGCTGGATGCTGTAACACTAACTACTTGAGACTGAGTAGTTACTCATGATCTGAGGATCATGGTTCCAAGCCAGTCCAGACACAAAGGTTCATGATGAAACTCTTATCTCCAAAAAAGCTGGACGTTGAGCTCTAGCTCAAAGTGATAGAGCACTAGCCTTGAGCAAAAAAGCTCAGGGACAGAACCCAGACCTCAAGTTCAAGCCTCAGGATTGGCGCATGCACATGTGCACACACACACACACAATCAACCCAAGATAGAAACAGGAAATAAGGAAGCTTTTGCCATAATTTAGGTTAGAGGGGGTGGCTCTGACCCCCATCAGATGGAGTAGCAATGAGATTCGAATTCACAATGCAAGGAGAGGCTTGGGTGGTTTCCATCTACACCCATGTGACATGTCAAAGAAAGTGAAGAGCCCAGAATAACCACATACTTTTCAGCCTCCTCACCATTCCAGGTGTCATTGGCAAAGATCTCCCTCTCCCTCCGGGGTCTCTTCAGCCCCCCATCACCTATGAAACCTGAGCATAATGGTGGGATGACTCTCACTCAGGACAAGGCACTCAAGTGCAGCCCAGAACACGGGACTGCTCAAGGCCTGTGAGAAGAGTTAACTTCATAATATGCCCTTGGAATCAATCCAAGGTCATAAATTGGCTGACCATTGTGCTAGATCACCAAACTGTTCTGAGTTGTTGGAAGGAAAGCCATTTTTCTATGCCCCCAAGTCCTCCCTTTAGAATGGGAATGCTGGATATGTTAGACATAGATAGCTTGTTTTTGCTTTTGTACAGGGATTCATGCTAAGAGTTGTCTTGAGTCTCAGAGAAGTCTTTGAACTTGGCCTTTTGGACAATTCAGGAACTGTTAGGCAAGAGTGTAATAGCCACAGCCCTACTTCCAGCTTTTTCTGTGTATGTGGTACTGAGGAATCGAACCCAGGGTTTCATGCACTCTAGGCAAGCACTCTACCACTAAGCCACATGCCCAGCCCCAGGACCTCACACTCTTCCTTTGCTTTTTCACCCCCAGCTAGCACTCCATCACTTAAG